AGTATACACACACACACAGATACAGTATATACACACACAGGTACAGTATATACACACACACAGATACAGTATATACCACACACAGATACAGTATATACACACAGATACAGTATATACACACACACAGATACAGTATATACACACACACAGATACAGTATATACACACACACAGATACAGTATATACACACACACAGATACAGTATATACACACACAGATACAGTATATACACACACAGATACAGTATATACACACACACAGATACAGTATATACACACACACAGATACAGTATATAACACACAGATACAGTATACACACACACAGATACAGTATATACACACACACAGATACAGTATATACACACACAGATACAGTATATACACACACAGATACAGTATATACACACACACAGATACAGTATATACACACACACAGATACAGTATATACACACACAGATACAGTATATACACACACACAGATACAGTATATACACACACACAGATACAGTATATACACACACAGATACAGTATATACACACACACAGATACAGTATATACACACACACAGATACAGTATATATACACACACAGATACAGTATATACACACACAGATACAGTATATACACACACACAGATACAGTGTATACACACACACAGATACAGTATATACACACACACAGATACAGTATATAGTCACACACACAGATACAGTATATACACACACACAGATACAGTATATAGTCACACACACAGATACAGTATATAGACTCACACACATGTACAGTCTATATACAAACACACACATACAGACACAAACAGATACAGTATATAGTTTGAGACATGACATATCAAGCGACCACCAAGGACCTTGGTCTCTCGCCAGCAAACTCTTGTGTTCTTTTGACTTTTAGAGGGAGACACAATCAAAGCTTGTATTGTGTTTCAACTGAGTTGAACAACATCTTAAACTCGTCACTTTTCATAAAGAATGAAAACCTCAAAATAATAATAATAATAATCCTGGCATTTGATACGTGTGAAACACGTCATCGAGACGTCTCCAAGCATTTCACAGGATATACTGTAAAATGTAGCGACCGCATATTGTGGGCGAAACACAGCATTCAACTGCACACAGTCGTGGATTGTGTGACCAAATGTACATATGCAGCCCCTGCGCCCCCCCCACCCCGCGCTCCCCCCGCGCTCCCCCCACCACCACCTCACCCCACAGGTTCAGTGGGTGAAGAGGCTCGAGGAGAATTTCTCAGCAGCTTTTCAGGCAATGATGAAAAAGTTAAGATTGTGTCTCCTTGAAATTGGACATCTGGCAGTTATCTGCGGAGTGTGTGAGCAGCTCCAGATTTCTGGGGAAACCGCAGATGGAGTTTTTTTTCCCCTTGAATCTGCCACGTAGGCAGGAGATGGGGGGGTGTGGGGAAGCGAGGAGCATTGGGTAGGGCCTGTCACAGGAATGTGGGTGGGAATGGTTTCAGAGGCAGCAATAATGATCCCTATCACTGCTCGCTGTGCTGCCCTGGGGAAGCTTCAGTGGGACAACTACAGTCACTGCAAGTTGTATATTTTGCCAACAAAAAACACAGTCAATCCTGAGAAGCCTTTTGAAATATCCTCCCGACGTGAAAAGTGCTATAATAATTATTTTATTTATTTTATTTACACGGGAAAATAATCCTTGTACAGCGCCTTATCACGTCTTCTAGACGTCTCAAAGCACTTCACAGAATAGACTGTAAAGTGAATTGATTGTAAATTTTGTGGGCGAAACGCGGCAGCCAATTGCTCACGGCAGCGCCCCACAAACAGTCTGGTTTATACAGTATTATTACGCTTACATTCTGAGGTGACGAGGGCTGTGTGTGTGTGGGTGTGTGTATATGTGTGTATATGTGTGTGTGTATGTGTGTGTGTGTGTGTATATGTGTGTGTGTGTGTATATGTGTGTGTGGATGTGTGTGTGTATGTATGTGTGAATGAGTGTGTGTGTATATGTATGTGTGTATATGCGTGTGTGTATATATGTGTGTGTGTGTGTGTATATGTGTGTGTGTGCGTATATGTGTGTGTGTGTGTATGTGTGTGTGCCAGGCTCTGGAACTCTATCCCCAGTGCCTTCGCCGCCTCCTCCCTTTCCTCCTTCAAGGCCGGTCTCAAGACCTTTCTGTTTGACCTTCAGCTCCGCTCTCGACTCTCTACCCCTCCTCACTCCCTCCCTTCCCTCCCCCTGACCATTTCCCCCCTCCTCGCTCCCTCCCTTCCCTCCCCTCACCCTGACCATTCCCCCCAATGCTCGGGTCCTGACCCAACTGTATAGCGCCTTGGGACGTCCTCCCGACGTGAAAGGCGCTCTATAAATGGAATCTTGTTGTTGTTGTTGTTGTATATGTGTGTGTGTATGTATGTATGTGTGTGTGTATATGCGCGTGTGTGTGTATATGTGTGGGTGCGTATGTGTGTGTGTGTATGTATGTGTGTGTATATGTGTGTAAGTATTTGTCTGTGTGTATGTGTGTGTGTTTATGGGGTCTGGCCTCTCACCCTGGGGGCTGGTAATACAGAGCCTTATGACGTTGATATCGTTGACATGTCTCAAAGCGCTTCACAGGATACACTGTAAAGTGTAGTGACTGTATATTTGTGGGTGTAACTCGGCAGTCGATTGTGCACAGCAGCGTCTGTCCCACACACAGCTGTGCATTGAGTGACCAAATTATTATTTTTTTAAAAAAAAATTCAGAGATTATTAACCCTGGAAATTGCCAATCGACTAACAACCAGGTTCGTTAGGTAAACAGAGGCGTGTGGAGAAGGAAACGTGACTGAGGTTTTGCCCAGCCCAGGAATCAAACCCAGGTCCTCTCGCTTGCGAGGCGAGGCCTCTAATCAGTACACCGGGGTTAATAAACAGTCTGACTTAATTGAATCAATTATAAACAGGATTCCAAGTGAATTCCAGATTGCCTCTCAGTTTGTGCAGTTTATCCAGGATTGTCCCACATGCAGAAACTCATGATCAAGGCTGACATTACAGTGATTCAAATAACAATATATTTTATGCAACTTTGCATCAAAACAACAGCATATCATAGAATCATAGAATCATAGAATGTTACGGCACAGAAGGAGGCCATTCGGCCCATCGAGTCTGTGCGGCTCTTTGACAGAGCGTCACTTTCACTAACCCCAATCACCAGCTTTCTCCCCATAACCCCACAAACCCGTCTTCCCCGATACCTGTCCAGTTCTCTCTTAAAAGCTGTTATTGAATCAGACGTCACTGCCCTTTCGGGCGGATCATTCCAAATTCTAACAACTCGCTGAGTGAAAACATTTCTTCTAACCTCCCCTCTGCTTCTTTTGGTAGATATCTTCAGACTGTGACCGCGGGTCACAGACACACCTACCAACGGAAACAGCTTTCCCTATCTCGCCTGTCGAAACCTTTCATGATCTTGAAGACCTCTATCATGTCTCCGCGTAACCTTCTCTGCTCTAATGGGAAAAGTCCTAACTTCTCCACTGCCCTCATAGCTGAGGTTTCCCATTCCTGGTATCATTCTCGTGAATCTCCTCTGCACCTTTTCCAGTGCCTTAATATCTTTCCTGAGGTAAGGTGCCCAGAACTGGGCGCAGTATTCCAGCTGAGGCCTAACCAGTGTTTTGTACAGATTAACCATAACCCCTACTCTTATACTCTATGCCCTATTAATAAAGCTCAGTACACCAAATGCCCTTTTTACTGCCCTTTCTTCCTGCTCTGCCACCTTCAATGAATCGCTTACTTGAACGCCCAGATCTCTCTGTACGTTCACCCCCNTTAAGATTCAGCTACCAAGTCTATCGCCTCCTATCATTTTTCCTCCCTAAGTGTATCACCTCGCACTTATCTACATTGAAATCCATCTGCCACATGTCAGCCCATTCCACCATTCTGTGTATGTCTGTCTGCAGTCCGTCACAATCTGCTTCACTATACTACCCGACCTAACCTGGTATCATCTGCAAACTTGGAAATAGTGCTCCCTGTGCCCAAGTCCAGATCATTAATATATATTAGAAAGAGCAGTGGTCCCAATACCAATCCCTGGGGGACACCGCTGCACACCTCCTTCCATTGCGAGTAACACCCATTAACCACCACCCTCTGCGTTCTGTCACTCAGTCAGTTCCTAATCCAAACGGCTACTGTCCCCTTAATACCGTGGGCCTCCAGTTTTTTTATTAACCTCTTATGCGGTACTGTGTCAAAAGCCTTTTTAAAATTCATGTAAATAATGTCCATGCAAATAATATCCACACATATCAAATGTGACAAATATCACATTTGTCCACACGTCGGGAAGACATCCCAAAGTCCTGGACAGTCAAGGATTTTCACCTGAGCTGGAAGTTGGGACCAGAAGGGGTGGAGAGCAAGGAGGGTGGGGGTAGAAAGGCTGAAAGCCCGACTGCCGATGGTGGAGGCCGGCCAGTCACTAGGGGCAGGGAATCTTCCCCCTCAGCTCCTGTTAACCCTGCAGCCAAAGCCCTAACAGGGAGGGGGGTCCAAGCTGGACAAGCAGCGGGAAAGCTTGGCCAGACAGCGCTCTCCAGCAGTTAGATTCTGGCAGTTACCCCAACACACACTCTAGGGCCCCCCAAACCTTGGCTCTCGCCAACCTGCGCCTAATACTCTTTGGAATTATGTAAACAGGATGTGTCCCTCCAGGGAGAGAGAGAGAGAGAGAGAGCGCATTCCATTTCAACAAACTCTCTCTGGGGTTTACATGTATAGGGGGGATGCAGGGAAATCTCAGTTAGGTTTGGAGACTCTTAAGCAATGTTGATGGGTTTCCGTGTATGTCAAACACCCGGCTGGTCACGGTGACGGGTTTGTGTGTGTGTGTGTCAGACACCCAGTTGGGCAAATTGCTTTGAGTAAATGGCTGCTTTTCCTGTGTGTCAGGACCTTGGGGATGGCGTTTGCAGATGGAATGTGGATGATGAAGTTGGTGGCTCTCGGCATGTTGGTGGCCGGGGTGATGTGTGAGGAGAGGAAGCTGAGCGGCGATGCAGTGGCCCTGGGGGAGCGCAGTGTTCAGCTGGCCCTGGACCTGTATCACACGGTATCGGGGGACAAGGCCTCCGACAATATCCTGCTCTCCCCTGTGGTGGTGGCCTGCTCCCTGGGGCTGGTGTCTCTGGGCGGCAAAGGCTCCACAGCGGCCCAGGCCAAGTCCGTGCTGCGCATGGACAAGGTGCCGGATAAGAAGCTCCACGAGGCCTTGGCTGAGTTGCTGCAGGAGGTGAGCAACGTGACCACTCGCAACGTGACCTGGAGGCTGGGGAGCCGGCTGTACGGCCCCACCTCAGTCAGCTTCACAGGGGACTTTGTGAAGAGGAGCAAGGAGCACTTCAGCTGTGACCCCTCCAAGCTCAACTACAGGGACAAGAAGAGCGCTCTGACCTCCATCAACAAGTGGGCTGCCCAAGCCACGGACGGCAAACTGCCAGAACTCACCACCGCGCTGGACAAGACTGACGGGGCCACAATCGTCAACGCCATGTTCTTCAAACGTAGGGCTGCATCTTACACCATCCTGGGCTTAATAATAATAATAATATCCTGCCATTTGACACAGCGCCTTATCACGTTTTCGAGACGTCTCAAAGCGCTTCACAGGACACACTGTAAAGTCAATTGATTTCATTTTTGTCGGCAAAAACCCAAATGTTATACATTTGACTTCACACAGGGCAGCGTCTCGCAGTGCTAACAGTGGGGGAGTGCAATGCCGAGCTGGAGGGAATGAGGGAGGTGACTATAGGCTCGGTCGAAAAGGAAAGTCCTCAGTCTTGATCTAAAAGATGGGGAAGGAGGGGACAAGGTGGAGGGATTGAGGTAGAGAGTTCCAAAGTTTCAGGTTGTAGTGACTGAAAGCATGGCTGCCGATGGTGGAGCGGAGGGAATGAGGGAACAGTATGAGGCCAGAGCCAGCCAAGCGGAAGCAGCGGGTAGTGGAGTGGGGACAAAGGAGGTCAGAATGGTAAGGAGGTGACACGGCAGGAAGTGACAGGGAGGTGTAAATAACGATGTTATTTGCTTCTAAATTTCAGCTCACTGGGACGAGAAATTCCACCATAAAATGGTCGACAACCGTGGCTTCATGGTAAAACCTTCATTCAGCGTTGGAATCCCAATGATGCACCGCACGGGTAGGTTACAGCAGCGACAAAATCCTGTAGCTCAGTGGTTAGAGCCCTCGCCTCACAAGCCAAAGGACCTGAATTTGGTTCCCGGGCAGAGTAAAACCTTAGGCAAAGTTTCCTTACTCCAAACACCTCTGCTTACCTAGAAGTAAGTAGGAACCCGATTGTTAGTCGATTGGTGGATAGCTTTCTGGGGGTAATAATTGATTCCAAAAAATTAATAATCTGGTCACTCAATCCATGACTGTTTGTGGGACACTGCTGTGTGCAATTGGCTGTCATGTTTCACCCACAAAATATACAGTCACTACACTTTACAGTATATTCTGTGAAGCGCTTTGAGATGTATCAATGATGTGATAAGGCGCTGTATCAAATGCCAGGGTTATTATGAGGTACAGGGTTTGGTGTGTGTGATAGGGAGCCAGTGGGGCCTGGCGAGGGCTGGGGTGATGGGGGTACAGGGTTTAGTGTGTGTGATAGGGAGCCAGTGGGCCGGGCGAGGGCTGGGGTGATGGGTACAGGGGTTAGTGTGTGTGATAGGGAGCCAGTGGGGCCGGGCGAGGGCTGGGGTGATGGGGTACAGAGGTTAGTGTGTGTGATAGGGAGCCAGTGGGGGGCGGGGGGGGGGGGGGGGGGGGGGGGGGGGGCGGGGCTGGGGTGATGGGGTACAGGGTTAGTGTGTGTGATAGGGAGCCAGTGGGGCCGGGCGAGGGCTGGGGTGATGGGGGTACAGGGTTAGTGTGTGTGATAGGGAGCCAGTGGGGCCGGGCGAGGGCTGGGGTGATGGGGTACAGGGTTAGTGTGTGTGATAGGGAGCCAGTGGGGCCGGGCGAGGGCTGGGGTGATGGGGTACAGGGGTTAGTGTGTGTGATAGGGAGCCAGTGGGGCCGGGCGAGGGCTGGGGTGATGGGGGTACAGGGTTTAGTGTGTGTGATAGGGAGCCAGTGGGGCCTGGCGAGGGCTGGGGTGATGGGGTACAGGGGTTAGTGTGTGTGATAGGGAGCCAGTGGGGGCTGGCGAGGGCTGGGGTGATGGGGTACAGGGTTAGTGTGTGTGATAGGGAGCCAGTGGGGCCGGGCGAGGGCTGGGGTGATGGGGTACAGGGGTTAGTGTGTGTGATAGGGAGCCAGTGGGGCCGGGCGAGGGCTGGGGTGATGGGGTACAGGGGTTAGTGTGTGTGATAGGGAGCCAGTGGGGCCGGGCGAGGGCTGGGGTGATGGGGGCATGGAGTTTAGTAGAGGGATTTAAAGACAAGTGAGAGGCTCTTGAATCAATCTGTATGTGAGTTTCCTATTGCAGTCCAACAATGCCTGGCTTGTGAGGAATTGTCTTATCACTGTCAATCAAAGACCTTCTGCTCCTGCTCAGGTTTTTACAACCTCTACAGAGACGAAGCCAACAAGGTGGATATTTTGGAGATGCCTCTGGCTCATAAGCTCTCGAGCATGGTTTTCATCATGCCCTTTGGCCCCGAGCCACTGGACAGGCTGGAGAAGCTCCTGACCAAGGAGCAGGTGAACACCTGGATGAGGAAAGTGAAGAAACTGCCTGTGGCCATATCTTTACCAAGAGTCAGCTTGGAAGTTAGCCATCATCTTGAGGTAAGCTTGGAAACCCCTCAAATATCTCTTCCTTCCACACCTCCTCCCTCCCCCATTCTCTCTCTCCCCCCTCCCCCCTTTGACTCTGGCTTCCAAATGGTTAAGAGTCTCCAAACCGAACTGAGAATTCCCTGCATCCCACTTACACATGGAAATCCCAGAGAGAGATTGTTGGAATGGAATGCGCTCTCTCTCTCTCTCTCTCTCTCTACCTGGAGGGACACATCCTGCTTATCTAATTCCTAATTACAGAGAGTATTAAGCACAGGTTGCTGAGAGCCAAGGCTTGGGGGGCCCCAGAGTGTGTGTTGGGGTAACTGCCGGAGTCTAACCAGCTAAACCCACACAGCTTGTCATTGAAAGCGCAAGCTTTCCCACTGCTTGCTAAAACCCTAACTACAAGCCAAAGCCCTGAAGAGTAGGGTGTTCCTAGCTGGACAAGCAGAGGGGAAACTGAAGGAGTATCTCTATGTGATGATGAGAATCATGAGCCGTTCTCCTTGTACCTCTCTGCTCGTCAGATCCGTTATCCTCTCCAGACATTGCTGATGACAGATCAGCCAGCTTGGCTTATCGGCAAAGCTTGAAGGGCCAGGAACAGTTTTGCAGACAATTTCAGCATTTCTAAATTAAGAAATTTGGATCTCAGTGGCAATGTGTCAAGCGAACACAATCTGGCGAATGCTATAACTGAGCTACTGATAGATACGTATTTATTTCAATAGAAACACCTGGCCAACATCGGTTTGACTGAAGCTGTTGACAAGAGTAAGGCCGACCTGTCCAAGATGTCGGGGAAGAAGGACCTGTATCTGGCCAATGTTGTACATGGTACCGCCTTGGAGTTGGATGTTGAGGGAAACCCGTTCGATGCCACCATCTACAGTCGGGAGGAACTGAAGAAGCCAAAGGTCTTCTACGCTGACCATCCCTTCATCTTTTTTGTGAAGGACAAGAAGACCAATTCAATTCTTTTCATTGGGCGATTGGTAAAACCCAAGGGAGACAAGTTGAATGATGAGCTGTAGGCATCTGGCTTCAGCGTCCAATGCCTTACAAGCCAGGGCTAACAGATGCCAAAAGGGGAAACGTAGGAAATGTAATAAAAAGTAAAATATTTTGACTTCACGTAACATTCCAGTTGGGCTGGCTATGGGGGTGGGATGTGGCAGCAATTTTGAGAATGTCCACAAAATATACAGTGCATTAACTTTACGATATGTTCTGTGAAGCGCTCTGACACATGTAGAAGATGTGCTATATTAAATTCAAGGATTATTATTATAATTAATTTAAGTTAAATAACAATTTGAGCCAAAGTTTTTATGATGAAAAGACCTGGACAGTCCGTCTAATTGGAAATTAATTGGATTGACTGACCAAATTATTCTTTATGAAATCAATTTTTTTTGCAGAAGGTTGGCCAATGAAATTAGTTGAAAATGTGGTTTGTCCTAGATTCGATAATTATCAGACTGGTTGTGAAAGTTTTTCACTTATTTATTTCTGGAGATTGAGGATATGATCCTTAACCCTTCCTCCACCCTCCTCCCTGCCCCATCACCCACTTCAGCACAAGGTCTAAGTGCCGCTATCCCTGACCGTTTAGCGACAGATAACAATAATAATAGTAATCCTTCCATTTGATACAATGCTATGTCACGTAGTTGCGACGTCTCAAAACGCTTCACAAAATATAGTGTAAAGTGTATAGAAACACAGCAGCCAATTGCACAGAAGTGTCCCACAAACTGTGGTGGATTGAGTGACCAAATTATTTTTTGAGGGATTATTACCCCAGGAAAGCGATCCCCCAATCGGCTCACAACCAAGGTGTGTGGAGTTCGTAGGGAAACTGGGCTAAGGTTTTGCCCTTCCCAGGAATCAAAACCAGGTCCTCTCGCTTGTGAGGCTCCTCGTCTCTCCCCAGTCCGTCCCACCATCGGTATTCGGGCCTTCAGCCTCTCTTCGCCTCACCCCCTCCCTCGTCTCCTTCAAGTCCTGTCTCAAGACCTCCTCTTCGTTCATGCCTTCGGCCATCCTCCTACAACTACCATCCCTGCCCTCCAATCCTCTTAATCCCAGCCCCCAGCTCGGGTCCAAATCCCTGACCAGTGCTCTGCGACGTCCTCCCGATGTGTAAATGTCAGTTATTGTTTGGAAAAAAAATCTTTGCTCTTTTTCACATCCATTATGTTTTTTGGAATGTTTGAATGTTAAGACACTTCTGTCTCCGTGTGAAACAATTTAGGAGGGGGGTGGGAGGCGGGGGGGGGGGGGGGGGGCAGCTATTTTAATGAGAACTAGTGATGTGCACATGGGGTACTGCAATGCGCTGGGTCTGTTACGAAGGTGAAAGGCATTAGTTCTATATTGAGGGGGAACTAGGAACTGCTCTCCTCTCAATAGCCACAAAGGGAGGAGTCGAAGTGGGGGTTGTTGGAATTATCGTCCTTGTTTGATCTGTTCACCACAATGGTTTTGGAAGCTTCTAATCCAACACATCGTGTGATGATGCAACAAGTAGCAACGCTTACAGTGTTTGGGAACTGTTGAGTTTTTCTTTGGAATAAAATCTGAAATGATGATTTGTCTCTGCGTGTATTCCACTTAAGCTCAGTTACCACAACCCACACACCATACCCACACACACTCCTCGCCACCCCCACACATAAACCCCCCCTAACACTACCTCAACAACAACATAACAACTTGGATTTATACGGCATCTCAGAGCTTCACAGTAACGGATCCCAGGGCCGAGCTGGGGGGAGTTGGAGGAGCCGGGGGGAGGGGGTTGAGGTGACCAAAGGTCGAAAAGAAAGGTCTTCAGCAGAGACCTGAAAATAGGAAGGGAGGGAGCGAGGGGAAGGGAGTGAGGAAGGCAGTTCTAGAGCCTCAGGGCGTAGTGGCTGAAGGCACGGCCGCTGAGGGTGGAGCGGAGGACTTGGGGGACAAGGAGGAGGCCAGACCCAGAGGAACGAAGGCAACGGGTGCTGTTGTGAGGAGAGAGGAGGTCAGAGAGGTCGAGGGGTGCGGAGGAGTGCAGGGCCTTGAATACGAGGCTGAGGATCTTGAAGTCGATCCTCTCTGGGACAGGCAGCCAGTGCAGTCTGGCCAGGACTGGGGGAATCGGGGAGCGGAGTTTCCTCACATACACACAGCCACACACACTCCGCCCCCCAACACAAACCCCCCCTTTAACACCACCCCACACACACACCCATACATACTCCACCTCTCCCCCCCACCCACACACACACACTCTCCCACACCCCCCCACCTCCCTCACACCCCCCTACCCGCAAACACTCCTCCCCCCCCCGACACATGCTATCCCCACACATGCACACACTCTCCCTACATAAAACACTCCCCCATCCCACACACGCACACTCCACGCTCCCCCCCCAACACACACACTCCCTCCACCACACACAAACTCCCCACACACACTCCCCCCACACACAGACACTTCCCCCCACCCACACACACTCCTCCCACACATACACAAACACCCCCCCCACACACACTCCACAAACACAAACACACCCCCTTCCACACAGACACACACACACAATGACTAATGACACACAGCTCTCCTGGACGTCTGTGCTTTGTGTGGGATAATCTTCAAGTACTGACAACCAATGGCTTTGTTTGGGCTACAGGAAGGATCTTGTGGACTCTTGTCATGTAGTAGTTATAGCACTCGGCTCGCAAGTAAGACGATCTGGGTTTGATTTCCAGGCAGGGTGAAAGTTTCCTTACTCCATATGCCCGTTTACCTAGAGGTAGATAATAATCATCTCTAATAATTAAATGCAAGGATTATTATTATTATTTTCCCAGGCTCCTGATCAACACCTTGTAAAGACGGTATATAAATGTAAATTATTGTTAATCAGGGAATTCTGGGCTAACTCAGTCCATATATCCTGCGATGTTACTGGGAAGGAGCTTCTTCCAATGTCCTGACCAACAATGGGAGCCGTTACCTGGAATCAACAACAACAGGGGCCAAATAGGGAAAAGAGGAAACCTTCTTGTGGAGGCAGAGGGCACGGCTGACGTACTGAATGAGGACTTTGCATCTGTCTTCACAAAAGAAGAGGATGCAGCCAATGCCACAGTATTGGAGGAGAGGGTAGAGAATTGGATAAGAATAAACCGAGAGGAGGCACTAAAAAGGTTGTCAGTGCTCAAGGTACATAAGTCACCTGGTCCGGACAGGATACATCCTGAGGGTTACTGAGGGAAGTCGGGGTGGAAATAGCAGAGGCTCTGGCCACAATCTTTCAATCCTCCTTGGACACCGGGACGGTGCCAGAGGGCTGAAGGGTTCAAATGTTACTCCCTGTACAAAAAGGGGCAGAAGGATAAACCCGGGATCTACAGACCAGTGCCTAACGTCAGTAGTGGGGAAACTTCTAGAGACTATAATCCGGGACAAAATACATTTTCACTTAGAAAAATATGGGTTAATAAAGGACAGTCAACACGGGTTTGTTAAAGGCAAATCGTGTCTAACAAACCTGATAGAGGTTTTTGATGCAGTAACGGAGAGGGCGGATGAAGGCAGTGCAGGTGATGTAGTTTATATGGATTTTCAAAAGGCATTTGACAAAGTGCCACATAAGAGACTTGTAAGAAAGATAGAAGCCCCCGGTATTAAAGGGACAGTGGCAGCGGATACAGAACTGTCTGGGAGACAGAGAGCAGAGAGTGGTGGTGAACGGCTGTTTTTCTGACTGGAGGGCAGTGCAGTGGTGTCCCCCCGGGGTCGGTATTGGGGCCACTGCTGTTTGTGATCTATATACATGACCTGGACTTGGGTATACGGAGGACAATTCCCAAGTTTGCAGATGATACTAAGTGAGGAAAGGTAGTAAACAGTGAGGAGGATAGTAACAGATGGCAGGAGGACATAGACAGACTGGTAACATGGGCAGACACGGGGCAGATGAGGTTTAATGGGGAGAAATGCAAAGTGATGCATTTTGTGAGGAAGAATGAGGAGAGACAATATAAACCGATGGTACAATCCTAAAGGGGGCGAAGGAGCAGAGAGACCTGGGGGTCATATAGTAAACCTTTGAAGGTGGCGGACAGGCAGATAAAGCTGTTAAAAAGCATCCGGGACACGAGGCTTTATAAATAAGGGCATAGAATATGCAAGTCAGGAAGTTATGATGAACATAAGAACATAAGAAATAGGAGCAGGAGTAGGCCATTTGGCACCTCGATCCTGTGCCCCGCCATTAAATAAGATTATGGCTGATCTTCTAACCTAATTCCAGTTACCCGCTCTATCCCATATCCTTTATTCCCTTTAGTTTTTAATAATCTAGCGATCTCAGTTTTGAATATTTTCAATGACTGACTGAGCATCCACAGCCTCTATTGTAGAGAATTCCATAAATTCACTACCCTCTGAGTGAAGAAATGTTTCCTCAACTCAGTTCGAAAAGGTGACCTTTAATCCTGAGACTGTGACCCACTAGTTTTAGATTCTCCAACCAGGGGACACAGTCTCACACTATCTACCCTGTCAAAACCCTTAAGAATCTTATAGGTTTCTATAAGATCACCTCTAATACTTCTATATTCTAGAGAATATAGGCCTAGTCTACTCAACCTCTCCTCATAGGTCAACCCTCTCATCCAAGGAACCAACCTAGTGAATCTACACTGCACCCCCTCTAAAGTGAGGATGTCCTTTCAGAGATAAGGAGACCAAAACTGCACACAATAGTCCTGTTAACCATTCTTCGATCCATACTAATATATTACCCTTATTCCATGAGCCCTAATCTTATGTAACAACCTTTTAAATGTGGTACCCTGCCCGTACCCTCCGTTCCTCTGGCTCTGGTCTGCTCCACGTCCCCCGCCCCAACCGCCCTACCATCGGTGGTCGGGCCTTCAGCCTCTCAGCCCCCAGGCTCTGGAACTCCATCCCCCAGTGCCTTCGCCGCTTCCTCCCTTTCCTCCTTCAAGGCCGGTCTCAAAACCTTTCTCTTTGACCGTGCCTTCAGCTCCCCTCTCGACTCTCTTCCCCCTCCTCGCTCCCTCCCTTCCCTCCCCTCACCCTGACCATTTCCCCCCTCCTTGCTCCCTCCCTTCCCTCCCCTCACCCTGACCATTTCCCCCCTGCTCGGGTCATGACCCAACTGTGCAGCGCCTTGGGACGTCCTCCTGACGTGAAAGGCGCTTTATAAATGGAATCTTGTTGTTGTTGTTGTTGTTGCCTTGTCGAATCCCTTCTGAAAATCCAAGTACACTATATGGACTGGTTCCCCCTATCTAACCTGCTAGTTACATCTTCAAAAAACTCTGCCTAATCATAATATGACTTTCTAAGCCCCACAATGATGTCCCTAATTATAGACTCTAGAATTTTCCCTTTCACCGATATTAGGCTAATTGGTTGGATTAGCTCCCCATTTTTTGTCTCCCACCCTTCTTAAATAGCGGCGTTACATTTGTGATTCCATAACAACTTTTAATAATAGTAGATAATTATTTGGGGAGGATGAGTTTGCAGGGCTATGGGGAGAGAGTGGGGTTAATCAGGGCTATGGGGAGAGAGTGGGAGAGTGGGGTTGATCAGGGCTATGGGGAGAGAGTGGGGGAGTGGGGTTGATCAGGGCTATGGGGAGAGA